TAGTCCACGAAAGCTTATGCTCTAATAAATTTGTTAGTCTCTAAGGTGCCACAAGTCCTCCCATACATTTTATTGGCTTGCCAGAGAAGGAAGCATCCTGTGCTTGCCTCTGTTTTTGTTACATACTTACATTTGTTTCCCATTTTTAAAGACGTTGCATTTCACTTTTACAATTCCTCTGTGGTTTTGTCATGCTGCAATTCACCATTTTTGTACCCTACCACCCTAGTTGGGCCCATCCCTTTGGGGAAGGTATTCTTGAGTGTTTTAATGTTAAAGGGATGGGCAACTAATGCATTTAAACACTAGACTGTAGTCTGCAGTTGGGGTGAGGGCATTGCTTGGCATATCTTCTTAATAGAGTTGTTTTCTATTCCACAGATACGCCAAAGATCACAGCCGCATGGATTTAGTTTCTGTACTTCTGCCACTTCTCCGCTGACCAAATCCATTTCGCTAATGACAATCACTCAACCAGGACTAGACAGTGAGTAAACATGACTTTCCATTTGGCTTATCATCCCATATGCAGTATTCACGTACCCCATGCTAACTCCCCAAGATAGAATTCCCCAAGCTTTCTTTCTGTCTTATTACTTGAAGCAGAGGTGTGCTTCTCTACTGCATTTAATTACAAAAAAGGGGCATCACTCATTTTTAGACCCAAATTTGCCACCTTGCATACCTAGAATTATTTTACTCTGTTAACGTAAATTATTGGTATTAGAACTGATGTTTCTTGACTATATTATAAAAAAACTGATTATGTTCATGATAAATCCTGTATCCTTTTGAATTTCTTCCTCTGCTGTTACTATAATGGTTTCTCATTTGAGGTATTACTTTTCCATATCTTGGAGAGTTGAGAGGTGTAGAGATATGGTATCTGAATCTTCTGTATCCTCAGAAGAAAAGCCATAAGACTAGTGTTTAGGCTGGAGAGGGAATGGCCTTCCTGATATTTGTTCTCTAAAGGAATTTACTCATTAATATTCCTGTTACCCGGATCAACCTTTCTGTGGGTTGAAGGGCATAATTTCAAGTTGCATGCTTTGAGGAGAAGCAACAGATGCAGGGGTGAAATGTCAAAAGTCTGGGGTGCTTTTCTTAAGTTAAATTCTGTGAAAAAAATAAGTAGTTTGCAAAGTCTTCTTTATTCCAGATGTACTTGAGAAGACCACACACTTCTTCTCCTCACTAAGTGTTGGCCAGGCAGTATGTTTGGTCTGCTTTTATACAATTCCTCATTGGCTTGATGAGACCAGCTCTGAGCTTTTTCTCATTACTGAAATGCATATGATCTGTATGATCATCAGTCTTTACATATTGTGGATTACATTTTACTAAAAATGACCTGTCTGTTTTTGGCCCATTGGTCAAAATCATCCAAACAAAGTTAATAGTTACATCAGAGATTTGTTTGGCCTTACATTTATAAAAACCAATTCTGTTTCACCTAGCTTCATCATGGGGCTCCTCCCCTGAACTCAGTGACAAAACAGCCATTCAGTGGGAGCGTCACACCCAAAAGGACCTGTTCCTAGCAAAAAGACATGCTTTAAATTAGAGAGTTTTATTTCATTTGGAAGCTAACAGGGAGAACCGTACAGAGAGGGTGCCTTGTGACATTTTTAAGTTCATTGCCCTCATTCTTCCATGATTAATAAGCATGTGGCCTAAAGGATGTGTCCCATAGCAACAGTAACCAAAACACCACCAAATCCATCCAATAAAAAAACTGCATCTTACTCTATATTATGTCACACCCTCTTTCCTCTTTTTGCTCAAGCCCTTCCTTTCTTTTTTTTTTTTAAGTAAACAGTTTTTTGGCATCGTTTCCAGTTGCTAACCAAACACTCTAAATAACACAGTCCCAGAATCCCAGAAAAACAGACGTTTTTTAGAGGACCAGAAAGCTAGGCAACCTAATGCTTTTCTCTCCATTAATTGGTAACTTTCTGTTGGGCTCACTGAGGAGATTGCCTCAGTAGAAGACTTATGCCACCTCACTTCCAAGTAAACTGTGACCCATTTCTTAAAGAGGTTTCCCTCATAATGCACATTACAGGTACCAGCAAGACCTGAATTGGGAGCAGATAAACTTGGTCAAAAATCTCTCCCTTTTTTTATATTTGTTTTTGTCTAATTAATGTCAGCCCAACCAGAGCACTCAATATATCAGGGGTCAGCAACCTTTCAGAAGCGGTGTGCCGAGTCTTCATTTATTCACTCTAATTTAAGGTTTCATGTGCCAGTAATACATTTTAACATTTTTAGAAGGTCTCTTTCTATAAGTCTATAATATATAACTAAACTATTGTTGTATGTAAAGTAATTAAGGTTTTTAAATAGTTTAAGTAAG